AAAAGGAAACCTAAAGATTCCACCAAGTTTCCATCCCACGGAAACCACTACGCTCCGATTCCATATGGTTTCCTGAGTCACGGAAACTATAGGAATGGTGAGGTTTCCCGAGCTTCCATGTAGTTTCCCGTAAAAGGAAACCTAAAGATTCTACCAGGTTTCCATTTCACGGAAACCCCCTCCCCTCCGATTCCATCAAGTTTCCTGATTCTGCAAACCTGTGTAATCTTTAGGTTTCCCATTCCGGCAAACTACATGGATGTTCGGGAAACTTCAGGTTTAGGAGGTTTCCGTGGTTTCCGGATACCTTATGGAATCGAGACGTAGGGGGTTTCCGTGTCACGGAAACTTGGCGGAATAACCTGGCATCCGCTGCGGAAACCACTTGGAAACATGATGTAAACTTGAGGTTTCCATGTGGTTTCCATAAAGTTTCCCATGATGGGAAACCACTTTTTCACCCAGTGTAACATTTTTGGCTTAAATGGCACTATAATCCATATATATGCATGTGTAACCATAGAAACATACATACATGTATGCATTATATAACATATTCAGTGTGGTTGAAGTTTTGACAAAACTTGTCAACAGATCTTCATGTATATATATATTCATTCTAGAAATTCACCGACAGGGTGTTTTGACTGGCATTCAAATGTGACCTACTTAATATGATTGTTTACAGGCTAATATAGGGAACCCGTGAATGACTCCACACTATCGACTACACTTTGATTTCAGTTGCATTGTTCACCATTACGGTAACAAAAGAAATTGAAAGTTTATAATTAAAGAGAAGAAACATCGTCATTTTACATCATTTCAATGTCCGACAAATATTAAGGTCAGACTACATGTTCTTAAATATATGTTAAGTATCTTTTGGTATTAAAAAAATTTTCATTTCTGTCATTCTCCTGATTTCTACATTGTTTTCAAATGTTTTTAAATATAAGTAAACCCAAAAATTGTGACATAGGTCATTCATAAAATTCACCCCGTGGTACATGTATCTTGTCCAGATGTCTGGTAAGGTACCCTAATTTCTTGTGAGGAATCTTTTTTACATTGTAAGTACCTATTCTACAATGACAAATTATTAGGAAAAATTATATATTTGTGAGTATAACGTGTTGTCTGACCTTAACCGATGATAAGGCATAAAAATTAATCAAAATAAATGATACATTGTAGGGATTACAAATAAAGTTTCAGAAAAAAAATAATAATTTTGCTCAAAATAAATGACGCATAAAATTAAATCTAAGCGAGAAAGAAAAGAAATCAATGTATGTATGTAGTATCTTTAATTAACAAAGAACGGACATTTATGTTTAGCTATGATATTTCTGTTATTAATATTTTTTATAATATAAAATCTAGATAGAGATATGCTGCCCTAGACAATGTATTGAGTCATTTCCAACTATAAAAGAAGTGAAATAATGTCCGATGACAGAGGAAGCATGGGCGATGGCTGCATGCCGCCAAGAGGAAAAGGTGTGATGTTCTTGCAAATCTACAGACATGTGTCCCTGAGCCTGAGAAGTTCGTATACCATTGTTTAGTGAATCAGTGGGGAAATGGGAAGGTTGAAGTTTGTGCTCCAATATGGATTTTTACAGGTAATACCACAAATTATATCAACAGGAGGGGTCTACAAAAAACATAATTTTTTTCTTATTATGAATGACGTGCAATAACTTTCCTTCCTTAAATTCTTTATGAAAGGTACAACATTTATAGAGAGTTATTTGTTTAAATTTTATATGAAATAAAATAACTGACAAAATTCAACGTGCAGGAACATTGTGATTTTTAATGCTAAGTATTTTCATATATAAAGAATGGCAATTAATATTATTAAAAAGTCCAGTCTTTTGAATGAGTATGTATTAATTTCGAAGAAATATTGTCATGTACATTGTAATGTTACTATATTGAGGTACAATTGTAGTATGGCATTTTCTGAAATAATTACCTGACGTGTGTCTCAAGCCAATCGAGGATTTTGTATTATATATGTAAATGTGCACTATAACAGTCTTTCATGGATAACAAGATGCTGTAAGACGACATGGAACTATCGAACATAATGACTGAATTTAGTGAATGGTACATGTATATCATTGTCTGACATCATTACAAGATACAGAGCATAAAAAAATACGATCTTGTATACTTTCATATAGGTAAGACGATATTGTAGATCATAAAAGTCATACTGTTTTATTTTGAACAAATTTTATTGACAACATGTCAAAAGGATTGGATACAAATACCAAAAACTTAGACAGTCGTATCCCATAAAATACTGTACAACAGGAGAAAAAATACTTTGAGTATGAAGATACTTATCTTGTAACGTCAATTCAAGATTCTAGGGTGATAGGATAATAATAAAATACTTACACTTGAGCAGAACATTCTAATACTCTTTGACCTCTAGAATATCGTGTTTTGGGATACACGTATATTACAACAAGTCTGAAATACGATGCTTTCTTCAATTTTTACAAAATACTGAGTAATGGGATACCGACTTACTAACATTTTTCAGGATTCTATCGGTACTTTAATACTATTGCCTTTCATATTACAATATCATTGCAAAATGTTAATACATGTATTTTACTTGATAACAGGATATTGCGGATACTATGATACAGAAACTGGCAAAATTGTCAACGATGTAAAGAAAGACTACACAACGGATGATGACCCCTGCCACCTAGATACAATTCCTCCGAGTCTTTCAAATGTGAGTGTTAATTAATTTTTTTTTTATTTTATTATAAAAAATAAAAACTATGTTTATTTTCTAAATATTTAGAAAAAAAAACTATTTTTATATCCTCCAAGCTATAATTTGAATCATTTATGCACATGACGAAAAAGGACGAACTTAATTTAAAGGAAAGAGTTTTCTTTTATGGATATCATTCATTATTATGTCAATCAAATGCCTATTTCAGCTCAACAGATTCACAGAATGAATGGATGATAGTATCAATTATAATTGCTATAGGTTCCTGTATAGTGATCGCTGTTATATTCTGGTGGTCAAGAAGAACATCTGGTATGCAGAAATATAATTATATGTTTTCATTGTCTTCGTCTTTATTGATTATAGAGACTTCAGCAGGAATATCATCGTTATTTTCATGAAATTTTGTATTTCTAAATCATGAAAAAAGAATGCGTTACTATTTAAAAATGAAAAATCATGAACTTGAAAAAATATATGAAAAAGCAGACTTTATTTTATTTAAAAAAATCATAAATATTTAACACAAACGTTTTTACTGTTGTTCGTTTTTTAAAAGACCCAAATTCACAAGAACAAGCTCGGATTAATGGCAAAGAGGCTGTACCTTTGACTAATGAACAATCAGATGGTGAGTTACAAAACATTTTCATTGCTATTAATATAACGTAAATACGTATTCATCGTAAAATCATAAACTTCTTGTTAAGGAATGGATGTTTAGAAAAGATATGGTATCTGTTTTTGATAAATGACTCTCCACAAAAATCAATGTGATGTAGCTATAGACATCAATCAGAAAAAAGAATATAGTGGAAGGGTCTAAAGCAATTGAATGTTTTCTAAATGATTATCATTTATATTCATTACAGCTAGTGCAGCGGTTTCAAGCAAAGAGGACACAGTTGACGAAAAACGGTTAGAGATTACAAAATAACTATTTAGTATTCTTCTCTAAGTGTTTAAAAGGTTATCAAGTAAGATATTTCTAATGTTCTTATCAACTTTCTTTCTAGGACTAGTGATGACATAACATCAATTGCGGTCTATGGCAAGGGTAAGGATGTTGACTGCCTTAGATTAATATATGATAAAGATTGGAATATGTCAGCATAAAAAATGCAATTTTTTCATGATATATCATAATGAGACAAAAAAAAGCAGAAAATCTCTGACTTCTTCCTTCTAAGATCAGTAGTTGTTCGACAACATTTACTTGCACATTTTGCTTATTCTGACATTTGTATCAGGTTTTTAAACCTAGTATGATAATAGAAAAGTAAATGGATTTTCTCGGTTTCTTTTTTTCTCTTTTAGTTATGAAAATAACTATACATATTAACAAAAAGGAAATAGAAAATTTCCATGGACCTAAATTAAGCATCCCATTGGCCGCCATACTGGAGGTCCAAATGCTCATATTCCTTCATTTTTCAACCAATTTTAAATTTTAATATTTGCTTTTTTGAATTAGGAATCATTATTTTTCTGAAATATATAAATTTTTGAAAGCCTCATATATTTAACAAAAAATTATTTAATAAACATTTCCCACCTAATATTCTGCTATATTTTCTTAAACTTGAAAAGACAAAGAGGAAAACTCACCGAGTCGACCTCCAATATGGGGCCAACGGGAGGTAACTTTTGCTAAATTTAGGCCAATCGAAAACTACATGTATCTATACATTAAGTTTATTCAATATACAAAAGATGTAAAATATAATTATTATTATGTAACTTCGAAACTTGATGAACAAACACTACGAAGATGAAGAATATACAGTAATCAATCTAAAAAAATAATAAAAACAAAGTATATTCAAGTCATTGCATAGGAAAAATATGGATCGAACAAAAAATGAACTTTTTTGGTGACCTTGAACTTGCCCAAATGACCGTGGGTCAAGCAAAACTGCAATCAGCACATAAAACTTTGATCCTCAAAAATTCCAAAGGCAAGGATGCGTAAACATCTCCAGCTGAGCAGGCACACCCGCATTGGGTCCTCTGTATTACATGTAATTAGTTAATTTCCTTAAGGCAGAACACCCCGCAGTCAATTTTAGCATAAAAGTCCTATTAATTTTTCCGAAACACGCCGGGCAAAATACAACCCGGTGATAAGTTAATCATTAATAAACAAGGCCAATGCAATCAGAATTAAACGGAGATATATTGTAAATGAAATTTACATGATATTTTTATAAACAGTCATTAGATTTAATCATTTCCTAGAAATAATTGTATATATTTTCAAGAAGTTGACTAGGCATTACATTGTATATGACACTTCTCTCTCTCTTTTCTCAGAATTTGTGTACAGAACAACACCAGCGAAACATGTATATAGCAGGTATGGTCATTTCGTAAGATGACAATATCAAGAGTTACCTTTCTTTGTTTCCAATCTTTGATAACTTTGTCTCTTTTACTTTACATACATGTAACGAACATTCGTGGAATATCATTTTCTCAATCATGTACATTGTAAAAGACTAGCTTAATGCTCTCTTATACTTTTTTCTAGTGGAAGTTCAAGTCATATACATTCGGCTAAGCTTGTCTCTCTATCATTTTTTTTTTATTTTAGACTGATGTTTTATTGATATTTCCTTAGCAGATGATTCTTAAAAGACTTAAACTTTTTATTAATTTTGATTATGTTGTCAATATGATTAATTATACAACATATATCAAAAGTATGACTTAAATATGCATAAAATCTGCGGACAATTTTTGTTTATTTTGTTAAGTAGAGAGTTTTTTTAACAACACTTCAAGAAATCTTCACTCATTTTGAGACGTCAGGACTTGCTAAAACAAGGAGCCCTTTAAAGGAGACTTCTACTCAACATTTATAATTACAATTGAGCAGTTCGCAGTTCATACAGTTAGGAATCTTTATAATGCCAGCACCTACTGCGACATTAAACCTCGGTTATACGATCTCATCCGATTGAACAAAAAATTCTACGACCGAAAAGGGAAATCGGAACTCGCGATGTTTGGTATATCTAAAACATGCTATTGCAAATGAAAACAACTTTTTATATCCCTTCCTTTTTTTAAAAAAAAAACCTTATTGACACCGCTGCTTCAGATGGAATGGAAACGGATAAGGGCGAAAATACGCTTTCAGAAAGGTAGCATGTTTTTCAAATTTTTATATGTGTAAGAATTTTACAAAGATTTCTCAACACTTTAGTGAATACATTATAATTCATAACACATAAATTCTTTTTTTATGAAAACAGAAACATTAAATATTGTATTGGTTTTTAATATTTAAGCTATGCTCGGATGCCAGATACCTACAGTGAGTAACCACACCAAACTGAATACTTTCTGACGTCATATACAATTAAAATCTTGTTCAATATCTTGATCAACAGAAACACATTCAATTCAAAAATGAAAAGAAATTGACAAATATGGAAGCATCTACTTTTATCTGCCTGAGATCAGCTTGTAAGTCTTCAATTTTATCAAGGTTTTTAATTTTCAGGTTCAAAAAGGAGACGAAGGAGAAGAAAGAAAAATAAACATCATATAGGTACAAGTAACACATCGTTCTACAGAACATTCAATAAAAACATTGCCTTTTGAAAATAAAAAATGGAAATGGATACACAGGTGTATCTAAATATTAATTTGTAAAATATCAATTCACGGAGATATGGCTGAAATGTAGTACTTTTAATTAAGGAATCACTTTTAAAGCTAAAATTAAATCTTTATATATTTGATTATTAAGCAAACTTTAAAGGTATGAAAATGCTTGTGTTTCAAAATTTCCGAAAACCTCTTCCATTTCACTCTCTAATTTAAAAAAAAATATTAAATGATAAATCGTGGAAGTAAAATATATTATGCTTAAAGTATATTTTTATTAATTCTTTAAATGCTGTACATATTGATAACACAAAGGGCCCGCATAATGACAGTTATGAAATAGATATTATTGTAAATTTACCCTTGAAATATGGAAAATCTGGAATTATAAAATAAAAATAATTGATGAATGTCGTCAATCTAATAATACAAGGAAACTAAAATAATCATACTTTTTGTTCCATACAAGATTAAATCAAATGAGCGCATTGTTTTATATCTGCTGCCAAAAATCTCCAATAGATTCAGAGGTGAGAATAGAATATTCTTTACTCCTTAACATCATAAAAAAATTGTTTGGTTTATTATGAAAAGTCGTTTTATTAATTTGTTTTTAATATTTTAAGACGATTTTAGTGTGAAAGGAAAAGGAGGAAACCAATGAGGAAATACATATACTTCTATCCAAGAGAAGGTTTGCTTACTTTGTAAAGTTAAGACACTTCAATCAATTGTATAAAAAAATTAAAATGTTTTCTTTTAATTTATAAACCATGCACAATATAGTTTTAAAAGAGAACAAAACTGTGCACTGTATATATTTTCGTAGAAACCATTTAAACTACTGTTAAATATTCGTTGTTATCATCATGTAGTCTT